ACATAAAACCACACACAAAAAAAGACAAGAAAACTTTCTGATAAAAACAAACAAAACAAACAAACAAAAAACACAGTGTATAAATATAGCCCTGGCTGGTTTGGCTCAAAGGATAGAGCATCTGCCTGCAGACTGAAAAGTGCCAGGTTTGATTCTGGTCAAGGGCACATGTGTGGATTGCAGGCTCCATCCCCAGTAGGGGGCCTGCAGAAGGCAGCTGCTCAATGATTATCTCTCATCATTGATGTTTCTATCTCTCCCTCACCCTTCCTCTTTGAAATCAATAAAAATAAATTTAAAAAAAAACAGTATATAAAACATTTCTCCTGATTACCCTCAGGCATCACTAAAATGATGGTTAAAAATATTTTATTTATACATGCAAACATATAATAATAAAGAAAATGGGATAGGGAACATAAAAACATCTGACCTATGAGTTACCAATGATAGTGATATCATTGTAATTAGTGCATGAAATTCATGCACTAGGAGGGGAGGGGTGACCCTGAGCCCTGACCTGTGCCCTCTCCCAATCCAGGACCCCTAGGCCTGGCCAGTGATCAGGGCCTATCAGAGCTTTCCTTCCCTCGGCTGCTGGCAGCTGGCAGCTGGCCCTGCACCCACCGCTGCCAATGCTTGCCATCTGTGTGGCACTGACGCCCTCTCCCCCACCACCGGTCACATCCCTCTGCTGGGCACCGGCATGAGGTGCTAGAGCTTGGCTGGCCAGGGCCTCCTTCTGTGGGGTAATCACTGGCCAGCCCCTCACATCCACCACAGTGTCGCTGGCCAGTGGCCTGGGCCTCCCTCTGCAGGGTGATCATGGGGCGATTGAGGGGCCCCTGAACAATCGCATCACACCTGCCTTGGCTGGTCTGGCACCAGTGTGTGTCATAGCGTGGTCATCCAGAAGGTCATCGGGACAGTAGTGCTACTGTTTGGTTGATTTGCATATTACACTTTTATTATTATGGAAAGGAAAGTGCTAAAGGCAAGGCCAGACATTACAGTCATTTGGGCAGCTTCACCAGGAAGCTTCAATTTCACATGCCCCAGGGGACACGGGCCCAGTCCCTGCAGATCCCTGGGAGGAAGGGGTCAGCAAAAGGAAGACAGATGCACGCCCATAAAGCTGGGATGACATAGAGCAGGTACCTGTTTGTCAGACACCCCTGGGGCAGAAATCATGGGCCAGAATGGGCATGGTCACTGCAAGCATGCAAACATCTGGGAGCACATAACCCCCTACACTAGGAGTTTGCTCTCTTGCTGCTCTTGGTTCTCTGGTTACTCTTCGCTGTGGCTTGCACTTTGCTTCCTTGCCTTGGTCCCTATGACGTGCAGCCATGTGGACCCCACAGGCAGTGGACTGATGGACTGCAGCAGGACACTAGCTAAGCCGGCTGGATGCTGGACTGGCCCTGGCTCCAACATGGAAGGAACCCTGGACCCTGGCTCTGGTTTTAGCTCTACTGAAGCCCCAGCTACACTCCTTCTAGGACTGGACTGAGGGAGTCCCAGGGGTGTAATTCCATGGAAGTAAAGCTTTCACCATATCGCATCCTCCCATGGGGGCCTCTGTGAATGCTTTTTCCAGTGGCACCCAAGACCCCAACTTCCACAAGTAAGCAGGGGAGAGAGGCCCCTCCTTTCCTGTGACAACAGCACTGCAAACTAGACATAGCAGCAGCTTCAGTGTGAGGGAGATTATCTTCAACTAGAATTCTTGCACTCAGTAAAATTATCGATCAAATGTCAAAGTAAAATGAGGACATCTGCAGATAAATAGGGATTTAATAAAATTTGCATCCAAGTGTTCTTTTTTAAAGAAAACTATTAGAGAATGCGCTCATGTAAAATCAGGCAGAGGTCAAGAAAAATGAAATAGTAGATCCAAAACAGTGGAGTAGAGAAAGAGAACTTTGGGAACAGAATATGGGGAACTCTGGGATGCATGAGATATCCAGGAAAGAAGATCAGGAGAGAGAGGGGGAGAGAAGAGAGAGAGAGAGAGAGAGAGAGAGAGAGAGAGAGAGAGAGAGAGAGAGAGAGAGAGGTTGATTTTGATTTAGAAAAATAACTTAAGTATGTATATTTAAATTGGGGTGATATTTTTTTCTTTTTTCATTCGGGAATTTTTTCCCCTAGCTCCTTGAATTTAACTGTCTCCTACAGGTGGTTAGAATTTTTTAGAGAAAGAATGCAGAAAAAAAATAAGTTATGGAATGCAAATTAGGAATATGCAGCAAGAAAATAATCCTGCAAGCCCAGGTTCTCTCTTGAAGGACAGTCCTCCATTCCTTCCCGGTCACTTCACCAGAGGGACCAGACAGGACCCCAGGGGGCAGGAGATGTGGTGACAAGTTCAGTGGCAGGAAAAGAGCTGAGTGGCCGAGAGGACTGTCAGTCTTCCCTCTGGGAGAGGGGGGGCTGTGATAGCCACGTGGCAGCAGGAGCCCGGGCCCCCCCCACACCTTGGGGCACAGAGGCTTTGCCTGGCAGGACAGCCTGGTCCAGCAGAGACACACCTGGGTGTGTTCATCCAAGAAATGAAAGGCCCCTGACGGGAATTGTTGCACTTATTGGATCAAACTTCGCTTTAAATGAATGCAAATGTCTTATTCATTTTCCCCCAATCCCACCAGCGCTTAAAGCTCAGAAGTAAATACTCCCCAAATATACTAGTCATGATACTAAAGTTTTGCAACCTGCTTCATGCTGGACACATGTCCTTTCCTACCTGTAATTAAAATAAATTTGTTTCCACCAAAGCCAGTTTGGCTCAGTGGATAGAGCGCTGGTCTGCCGAGTGAAAGGTCCCAGGTTCGATTCCAGTCAAGGGCATGTACGTTGGTTGCGGGCACATCCCCAGTGGGAGTTGTGCAGGAGGCAGCTGGTCGATGTTTCTCTCATCATTGATGTTTCTAGCTCTCTATTCCTCTCCCTTCCTCTCTGTAAAAAAAATCAATAAAATATATTTTATAAAATAAAATATTCATTTCCTTCCCCTTCCCCATCTCCATTAATTTTACTCTCCTACATTAGAAAACAGATGGAATTAGTGCAAGTGTACCTTGCCTAAATGAAATGAAAATCTAAATTCTCCAAAGAGATTTGCTATTTAGGACAAGTGTATGAAAACTCAACACTGATAGGTATTCCTCCCTCTGCACCCCCTCTCCACCCCTTCCCGTTTCAGTCCAGGGCAATGCTTCCGCCCAGGGCTCCGCTCAGGCTCCCAAATAAAAGACAGCCCCCCAGAGAAGCTGGGCCATCCGGCTGCGGGGGTAGCAGAGGAGCAATGACCTCACCATGCACACTGCACGCGTGTAGGAAAACACCAGCTATTTCCATCTGTCCATCTCTATCCGCAGCAAATGGATTTCACAACTCGTACACATGGTGAATGCCAAGCCCCACATAAACAGGCTTGCCAATCCTGCTAAGCCTCAAAGTATCTCTCCAAACAATGGGAAACCATGAAGTCAGGAAGTCCCAGGGCGGCACAGAAGCTGGCAGTGAGGGGAGGGGCACCTGTGCCTCCTCATGATGCAGTGCAGGCCTCCCGGTGCCAGGCACAGCCCGCTGGGCATGCATACCCTCCACAGCACACGCAGACCCAGGCCCTGCCCTCCGAGCTGCCAACCCAGGCTGGGGAGGAAGGCCGGGTGCACGCCAGGGTGCCCAGGTGTGAGCAACTTCAGGCCACATCCATTCACTCACAGAGTCCCTCAGAGCCATCACATTGGTCAGAGAATGAGGGGTTCTGATTCCTGAGTCACCCTGTTATTCTATATGAATGAGCAATGTTTAGAGTCAGAATGTAAGATTTAAGTCAACTAGTGAACAAAAGGGGTTCCTGCGTTCTCAGGATCATTTCAGGGGCCTGGGTCATTTGAGCATCAGTTTCTCCTCAAGAAACTGGCTCCTTTCTCAGTTCAATTCCTGATTCTCCCAGGGACTCTGTTTGTTTGTTTTGTTGTTGTTGTTGCTTTGTTTTGTTTTTTTAATATATATATATATATTGATTTTTTAACCTGAGAGGAAAGGAGTTGGAGAGATAGTTAGAAACATCAATCAGCTGCCTCCTGCACACCCCCCACCAGGACTGAGCCCTCAACCAAGGCACGTGCCCTTGACCAGAATCGAACCTGGGGCCTTTCAGTCCACTGAGCCAGACCGGTTTCGGCAGGACCTCTGCTCTTGGCTCCTTAGAAAGGCGCCCCGCGTGGGCCTCCGGCTTGGCTTCCTCCGCCCCCTCCGCACACTCCCTCGTGACACGCAGGCCTCGGCCCGGAGCTCCGATCGCGTTGGGAAGGCTGCCAAGCCCACAGCGCGCCTGACCCATCACCTTCATGGCGTTTCCTGCCCCACGCCCCGGGCCCGGCTGCTTCCCTGCACCCCACTCTGTACCTAGGGATCCCCCCGGCCCGAGCTCAGCGCTTCCAACTCTGAGCTCACCCTGCGCCCCCCTCGCCTCCCCATCTGCCTGAGCCCGGCTCCAGCGCCTCTGCTTCTGCATAAATCACAGGCGTCCTCCGGGGTCCCCCTCACTCGGGAAGGAATGCGATGTGTCCACTTTCCTTACAGCTACAGTCGGTCCCAGAAGTTGAGCTTTCCCCTGCAGCGTGTTTCCTCGGCATGGAAATGCCGATAGTGACAATTGGCTGCAAGACTAAGACTTGGGTCCAAAAGCACAGCATATACAAAAGCATCTTGGAAAGTAGAAAAGTCATGCAAAAATCAGACGTTCACCAGTCAGTAGCTCATAAACGTTAATATCTTTTTCATGTGCGAGGTGATGGTCATATAGACATGCAAACATGATAAACAGGATTTCGTCATGCTGGACGGCAAATCACATGTGCACAGCTGTGTACTCAGGGAAGGAGGGATAGTATTTACTTTTGGAACAGTGGAAGGGAGGGGGAGGAGGAGATTTCAGCCATCTCTCAGAAACCTTCAAGAGAGACACACACACACAGAGACGCACCTACCAGCTGTCTGTCACGTTTATGTGCGACTGTAATCGTGGACAGCCGCATGCCAGAACGGAATCCGGCTGTAGTTCTATTGAGTGTATAAACGGATAGGCTACCGTCGTCCCAGGCCTGAGTCCCCGCCACACACTGCACAGCCTGGGGCTGAGATCCAGAGACCACGGAGGAAATCCAGGAAGGCAGGGAGGCCGGGGGTGGGGGTGTGGAGGGGGCAGGCCTAGGTGACCGGCACCACCGCCCCTGCCTCTGCAGCTGCACACATTTGGGGACGGACCAGGTCCCCCCACCTTGTGTGTGTGTGTGTGTGTGTGTGTGTGTGTGTGTGTGTGTGTGCTCCGATTAGCTCAACCGCTCGCTCTGCCTTGTGGCTCCTGCCGCCACCACACCCACCACATACTTTATAGAACACACGGGATATTTCAGTCTTTATCACAAACCAGATGCTTTGGGTCAGGGGTGGGAACCAGATCTGGCTCCCAACAGCATTTCTTAAGGCTTGTGGGGCAAAGTAGCAAGAAATTGCAAAAACTGTTAACATTTGCACGCTTGCAAAAAACGTGAGGCCACAGAAAGTGTGCCTCTTTCTCTCTGGCTGTTTCTCTTCTTTCACTCTGCTCCCTCAGTCCAGACTCTGCCTGTAGGTTTTGTGTGCCATGCCTTTGTGATTTTCATGACATTTGGTGGGACAGGGGTTCTGCAGAATTCTCAGCTGGGAATAGTCTAGAAAAGGGACAGGGTTTATTTGCTGGCTAGTTCTCACTTCCTATTTTTACTGAGAAGGTATTGGGTTTTTTAACTCCATGTCTTCAGCACTCCATGCTTTGGAACTTCCCTCCTCCAGGCTTCCTGCACTCTCGCCCATCCCCCAGACACACACACACCTGGGCCTGCACCCTATTCACAGCAATTGGATTCCTGCCCCCAGCCCCCTGCCCATCCCTGTCTGTCCTGTCCCCGCACTGCCAGGCCAGGAGCCTCCACAGGCTGCATGCCCCTGCTCTCCCTGCATCTCCCTGAAACTCTCTCCTGGCTGCTGCTCTCTGTGGCTCCCTTCTTCCCAATAACTGCTCCCTCCTGTCCTTCTGCCCTTCAACCAGATTCCTCAGATTCTCTTCTCAGCTACTTTTTTCTTCTCATTGAGTCCGTGTATCCATTCGCTCAAATTCCATTCCAACTTCCAGTTCCGTTGCTCATTTTGACTAAACTCTCATCAGAGAGCACCGTGGGTTCTTGCTATCTGAGATGCTCCAAGATTCCAAGGAAAAGAGCCATACTTCGCGCTTCTCCTGGCTCCCGAGCTGCAAAACGCAACTGTGGTGCCTGGCTCACGGTAGGTCTCCACACCCTAAGTGTTGTTATGAGATGTTTTATCCTTTTATCCTTAAAGGATCTTTGTAATCACATATTTCAAAAACTGAGCTGTGTGACCTAAACTCTATTAGAACTTTATCTCTAAGTAGAGGACAAGATAAACTCTAAGGGCAGACCCTTTCAGTCCTTAAAAGCAAGCAAAGAACTCCAAAAAAAACAAAACAAAACAAAACACACCCTGGTCTCTGTTTTGCACACAGAAGTTACAAGCTTCATGTAATGGCTTTAAGTACAGTCTAATTTCGCCGAGACCGGTTTGGCTCAATGGATAGAGCGTCGGCTTGGGGACTGAAGGGACCCGGGTTCGATTCCGGTCAAGGGCATGTACCTTGGTTGCGGGCATATCCCCAGTAGGGGGTGTGCAAGAGGCAGCTGATCGATGACTCTCTCTCATCGATGTTTCTAGCTTTCTATCTCTCTCCCTTCCTCTCTGTACAAAATCAATAAAATATATTTAAAAAAAAAAAAAAGTACAGTCTAATTTCAATCCTCTGGAAATGCACAACGCAGAAAGGAAAGTGAGAACCGTGCGACTACAACACTGTGACAATTGCTTTCATGCATGGATTTGAGCAGTCTCATTAGTGAGAGTTCACATGCTGACTGTCCACTTCAGCATATAGCTGCTATTAGCTATTAAGGAAATATTGTTCCCTAAGGCTGTTTTCAGTATATCTAAAACAGCAGTATAGTTAGTGACAATACTAACAATGAATACTTATAGTGTTCATATTGTCAGGCATGTTTTTCATGCTTGATTCTCATGAAAACTCTATAAAGTGGAATGTATTAGTAGTCCTACTTTCTATATGAGAAAATGGAAACTCTGAGAGTTTATGTAGTCTGCTTATAGTCACCAAAAACTACATACTTCCTATTCGTAAGACCTATATAAAATACTTAGAAAATATATCACAGTTTTTATTCATTAATATTTATGTCTGTTTTTTTTTCACCAACCATACAGTTGTGCACTTATTTATAGAAGAGGAAAGAAAGGAAGAAAATTATCTAACAAAACCAACAATGGAAAACATTCTGATAGACATGGTAAGGACAATTTTAAATGATTACATCCATCATAATGTTCAATATGGTTTTCAGAGTAAGATAAAAATATATATCAAGATGTTGGATTTTAATTAAATTATATGTAATTTTAATTTGGTCCTAGAAAGTTGTTATTAGGTCAATAATCATTGAACTACATGTTAAATAATTCCATGATCATATAAAATTATGAACAAAAAATACCTAAATATGATTAAGGTTTGAACATGTTTTATAAAGTGAGACTATTTAACTTATTCTTTATTGTGAATAAATATAAAATAGGGCAAAAATATTTACTAATATTTTATTTACATATAAAATAGGGCAAAAATATTTACTAATAAGTAAAGAATAATGCATTCATTTACTAAACAAATATATATATATATATTTATATATAATAGGGGTGTCGAACTCAATCAGAGAAGGGGCCAAAATCTAAAATCCAGCCTAAATCGCCGGCCGAATAGTTTACTGAACAGTCATAAACTGTCATTGTGATGGAAACGCAGCGGAGTGCAGTGATGACAGCACGGTGCAGGCCACATTGCAAGGCCTGGCGGGACGGATTTGGCCCACGGGCCTTGTGTTTGACACATGTGATATATAATATAGGGTCTTCCAGATGCAGCACGGAAATATAAAGAACTCAGAGGTTGTCATTCCAACCTTGAGTCAACGCAAGAAACATTCAAACCTGTGAAGAATTTTTGTGAGTTTAGTTGAGCCAAACTTGGTAATTGCCGGAAAGCAAAATGTCAATGGATTAAGACAATGCTCCAGAGAATGGCAATTTTGCACCTTGTTTTATACATTACAATAAAAAGAGAAGACCTAAGTGTGTTACCTGAAATTCATACGTGATGGATTAAGAGAAAGCAAAGCGGGGAAACCTCTGGGATTGGATAAAAAGTAAAATGATAGACACATACCTTTTGTACAGGTGGGTCCAGGGTAGTTAACAGTCAATAATTGACTCAGTAACAATGAGGGGATTTGTGCCTGTGCTTTGAGGGGTTCCAAAGGTATGTTATCTTAGATGCACAAAGATGACAGACAGACTCAGTTACGGTGAAAATTGACCTTTGTCAGGAAAGGTTTCTAGCCTAGGACATGACTTCACACCATAAACTGCTCTTATCATTACAAAGTTTTCATTTCAGACCATCTTTTGTGGTTACTCTAGTTCTTTGAGTTTGTAAGACTACCACGAACACCTTCCCTGAATATGTGGCCCTTTTCATTCACATTTGCAACAAGGACATGCTGCTTAGACTGAGAATCAGTGACTTTTCTTGGGTCCATAGAGAACTTGGGTTGCAGGTTGGTAACCCTGAAATTGAGTCCAGGTGAGTTCAGGCGCTTCCAGTAAAAATCTGCTTACTTGGGCCAGAAGTCCCAAGAGCCATAAATTGGTAAGGACAATCAAATAGTAATTTTGATGAATTTCTGAAGGCTGAGTTTAGACGACATGAGAGTGAGAAACTCCTGGGAACCACAACCTCAGAGGAGCCCCTCTCTTTGTGTGGGCTTCACCTACAGCAAGCCTACTCGATTCTCATAGTGAAGATCTGAGAGTGCCTCTGGCGGTGTGTGTATGTGTGTGTGTGTGTGTGTGTGTGTGTAATAATTGTGAAATATGCCCAGAGCCTTTTGCATAAAAAAATTCTACTGTCCAGGAGAAAATACTTTGACAGAACTTGATAAATGGCTGGAAGAAGAGCTAGCCTTCCTGACTCACCTAAGAGGAAAAGGAATAAACACAGTCAATAGAGGTCAAGCTTCAAGGAAATGACTTAGGCATGCTACAGCAAGGAGGGGAGATGGGGCAGAGGAAAAAAAGCTATTCCACTAGAGCTCTGTCTGTGTCGGTCACAGTCCCTAACACAGGCCCACAGAAAACCTGAGACTTAATCAGGACACTGGCAGTGCTCTCCCTCACCCGTACCAACCAGCGTAATATCAACGTAAAAACAGTCAAACCTGTAAAGAACTTTTGTGAGTTTATTTGACCCAAACTGTCAACAATTGCCAGGAAACAGAATCTCAATGGTTTGGGATAATGCTCCAGAGAATGGCAGTTTTTCACCTTATTTTATACATTACAATCAAAGAAGGAGACATAAGTGGGTTACATGAAATCCATTGGTGATGGCTTAGAAAGGTGGGAGAAAGCATAGGGGGTGGAGACCTCTGGGATTGGATAAAAAGTAAAATGATAGACATACTTCTTTTACTTAGATGGGTGCAGGATAGTTAACAGTCAATGGTTAACATGATAATAACAATGAAGGGATTTAAGGTCTGTCCTGGCGCTCAGGTGCATTTGGTTGTGCCCCTAGGGGTCCGAAAAAACAGAAGTTACAAGTTACCCTGACTTGTCAAAGGTACTACTGTGTTTCCCCGAAAATAAGATATCCTCCGAAAATAAGACCTACTTACAGGTTTCCTTCTGAGTGAAATATAAGGCATCCCCTCAAAATAAGGCCCCCCTAGGCTAAACATGAGAGATTTGGTCCACTGATTCTGAAAGAAATGGAGTCACAAGAAATTCACCAGGAAATTCAGGAATTGGATTGTTATGATGATGTTCCAGAAGAGGATG